GCATAATATCATCACTGTAATTGGTACATGATGTGTTACCGTTTGCAGATGTGTCCATCGAAAATGATTCGGACTCTAGGTCGTTCGAGGTTGACGGTGGCGTTGGCACGTTACGATCGATATCGAAATTGCAGAGGGGGGTCAATGGCGGTTGTGGAAGAGTGATATTGTCTAAGTAGCTGGACCAAACGCCGAATGTCGCCCGTGCACCAGCAAAGTCTGCTTTCTAGTTGTTTTTCTAGTTCTTCGACTTCGGTCTTCAGGTCCCACCCGCCCGTTTTTCGAGGCACGCATTGGCCACAACAATAGGGTTTGAATGATCGGCTTCGGCTAAATGACCTGCCCACACCATGTCGTCAAAAAAGTTGGCTGCCAGGGTGGGCAGTTGAACAGTCGACGTTAACACCAGCGGCAGCTTGTAAGTTAGCAACATATACTGACCGCCACCTGGGGATGTACTGTAGTACTCGATTGTCGCTACCATACAAGATGTTAGTACACGTAATTGTGGATTCATACCGTTCATTTCGTGCTATCTCAAGAAAGGACTGTGCGTCTTGCTTGTAGCGACCAGCCATTTCAAGTGTCTTGTGGCGTGATGCGTGTTGCATGTCTACATCTGATGCGCCGCCCCAAGTGCCTAAAAGCCAGCCAGGCTTACGCAGCCAGTGCGTTGCAAATCACCGATGTTAACCTTGGCAGGCACTGGCTGCACTTGAAGCCAACACCTTCGTCCGCACGCAAAAAGAGGCGTATGTGGAATAGTATCATGGTCCACAGGTTCCAGCCATTAGATCGTTGGTCGCCAAAAGGTACGTACGAATGTTCACCACCTCCAGCGGATTACACATTGACTCGGAGTTCGGGACGTCACCGGCCAAGTTGCGTTTCTTGATGCAGCTCATGCAGTTGATATAGTCCTGCGCGAATCGCGCGTTGCCCAAGCGCGAAACGACCTCTACCAGCATGGTGTCGACATCCGAATACAGAACCTTTAGTTTTGAAGATGTCCTGGCAGCTCGAGCACGATTCTTCGTAGGCCACTTGGTCCATGGCCTTTGCCTTGTGCGCGGCGGACACGGCGGCACTAAACTGGACCATATTTTGTGGATCTTTCCACTGGCCATCACACAACACTTGTCCACCATAGACGTTCAGAACTGGGGAAGTGTCATCGAAGTAGAGTAGCGACCCCACAAGGCCAGTTTTGAACTTCAAGTAAGCGCATAAGCTCTTCACAGACA